AAACCCCTAAACCCGAAACTCTAAAGCGTGGCCTGGTACGGTTTCCAGAGGCCGGAGGACGCCCTCCGACTTCGCCACGTCGAGCTCCGTCCTTGCAGGAGCCTGGAGCCGCAAGGGCGGAGGGGTCATTGAAGGGCCTACAGGGCTTAACGGGCTTATAGGGCTTATAGGGTTTAAAGGGTTTAGGGTTTATAGGGCTTACAGGGTTTATAGGGCTTATAGGGTTTATAGGGCTTATAGGGTTTAGGGTTTAAGGTCTAGGGTTTGGGGTTTAGGGTTTGGGAGTCATGTATGGGACAGGATACTTCTTCAACAAAGGTCCGGACAGCAATAAGGCCGATTAGATTAGATGCCAAACATCACACTGCTGATAGGATTCACTTCGAGGTTGATTGGCTACACATCATACACGTCTACAACAAGTCTAACAATACGACTCTACGAATATGGCAATACAAGAACACAAGAATACAGCAGCAGTTGCAACATCACAGCGCAGTATAGGTCGCATATTAGTAGTGGCAGCACAAGATCACTAGCTCCACTTCGCTACGAAACAAAGGCATGCCTGCACAGCCCAGCAATCGGCACCGCGTCCCTGAACCAAACATGTACAGTGGGCACTTCTTGGCGGGTGCGCTGAACACATGGGAAGTATATAGTATGGCATGGTACAGGTCCTTGCCAAATTTTAGAACCCTCCAACAAACAACACCGTGCTTCCAACAATTCCCATGTCATCCCAAAGCCTACTTAACCTAGGCACCAGCTGTCAAAGGGTAGGATTGGGCCTCACTGGGTTGAGCAGAGCTGATCTCATCCTGCAGATCTAAACGTTCTGAGGCGGACTTTGCGGGAAGGTTGGTGGCTGCAGGGTTCGGTATCGTTTCATGGTCTGCGGTGTCATCTTCGGTCTTGTGGCTTGGGCTTGGCATTTTCTGTACTTCAGGTTGTAGGAGGATGATCTCAGTTCTGCGCAGGCTTTGCAGCTGCAACCCTGTAGAAGAGTACTGCCTGGCATGCAATTTCATGAATGGTCACCTGAACAACGTTCAACTTTACGCCAGGAACGCCTGAACAAACAACGCAGATAGCCCACTAAAGTCTTAATAAGCGAGCATCAAAAGAACCCAAGCATTCCTGCGACTCTTCCGTGGGGGTCTCTGTCTCTGGCACGGCTGGGTTAGCCATGGCGGTCGAAGCTTCTGACCCCAAGGGTCTGTACTGCGGATGGACAATCGCTGAGGGGGTTTGGAGTGAAGACCTGGAGGTAGGAATCCCAACGCTGGGGTCTGAATAACTGGTCAGAACAGAGTCTTGGGGCTTACTATAATATCATACAAGGGAACCCTAGTTCAGGCTTTTATACTAGGGGTGGCAGGGAGGCCGCGGCTTCAAGTTGGGAGTTCGTCGCAGACGCTGATAACGCTTTGCGACACAGTGGCAAAACTACCATCCATGGGCCCATGATGTCAGAACACATAAATCGAAAACCCAGGTCAACATTTCAGCTAAGGAGGTGTCTGCATGAAACCAAGAATTCTATGCAAGGAGGCTGCTCCAAGCTTGAGCCCGTCACGTGCAAGGACGCAGGCTGTAGCCATAATCTACCTAACATAGTTGACGTTAGAATAGGGTTTGGGAGGGATCTCTAAAACTCCTCATCGTTTCCCAGGTGCCAGCTCTCAGAGCTATGATTCTGGCCAGCTCAATTCAATTTCGCCAGAAGGACCTGTAATTTAATCTGACCATAAACTTGAAATCCCGACTCGCGCAAGGCTCATCAAACCCCAGAACCGAACCCGAATTCAACCGTTCCCGTCTCGTGAGATCGAGGTCCCCACCATAGTTCAAGAAAGAGCTTGCCACAAATCGACTGCGAGGCCTGCGCTTCTTGCCATATCCGAAACGAAACAGAAAATGCAGGTGATCCTCGCGCAGCCCTCAGATGCCAGGAAGCCATGGAGACTACATAATGTGACATGTACACTTAATGGGTTCGAAGCAGCTAAGCATCTTTATGAAACGTCTGAAACATACATACATACATACATACATACATACATACATACATATACATATATATATATATATATATACATATACATATACATGTATGCGTGTATATATATATATATATATGATATCATACCAGATCATATCATATCACATCATATCATATGAGAGATGCAAACATGCGCACAAACACACACACACACAAACATATGTATATATATATATATACATACATACATATGCTATCATATATGTATATACATACATATACGTACACATATATATATATATATATATATGTATATATATATATATTCACATATAAACATATATATATATATATGTATACATATTTATAATGTACACACACACATGTTGCAATCATGCAAGGGCTCCAGGCTAGAGGAGCCCCTCTGAAAAGCAGGCGCGAAGGTCAGCTCGGAGGTGAGAGCGAGGCGGGCGATGCAGCCGCTATCTTCACAAATCAATACAGGAATACAGTGCTTGCAAATGACGCCAAGACTAGTTCAGTCGGCAAGCATACATAACATATGCAGGTAAGTAGGTGGGTAGGTAGGTAGGTAGGTAGGTAGGTAGGTAGGTAGGTAGGTAGGTAGGTAGGTAGGTAGGTGGGTCGGTCGGTCGGTCGGTCGGTCGGTGGGTGGGTGGGTGGGTGGGTGGGTGGGTGGGTACGCCCCGAGAATGTATGTATGCATGCATGCATGTGACATAATGTGATGCGTGTGTGTGTGTGTGTATGTACATGCATGCATACATAGACGGATAGATAGATGTGCATGTACGTATGTGTGTATATATATAAAAATACAAATACAAATACAGCTACCGACACAGAGACAGACATAGATATGACATAGATATAGATACGCACACAGAAATCGGTACAGCTATAGATATAGATACAGATATTGACCAATATAGAGAGGCAGAGGGAAAAGGCAAGCCGGCGCATGGACAGACTCAGACCTACCAGCAACAGAAGCAAACAGGAGGCAGGCAGGCAAAGGAACAAAGAGCTCCAAAAGCATGGACGGTTCGGGTTTCACGGGTGCTCTACGGCGATACCACTGTGAATCTGAGCCTCATGGAAGTCGTCTTCGGTTGCAACCTGCGGCAGAATGCTCCCGGCACGGATCCCTTAACCCACTAATAAGAAGAGTGTAATACAGCGGATATGTTCCATGAACAGCTGGCAGAGCAGCGCACCGTGAAAGGAATCTCGGAGCCGGCAAGATCGGAGTAGCGAATGTCCAACTGGCCGCAGGGCTTCGAGGGCAGGTCTTGCTGGGAGTTGGGGGATCCGCTGAATGAGGTAACTAAAGTCTCTGTGCTTCGAGGTGTCCGAAGAAATTCGGGCCGGGCACAAGGTCCGTCGCCAGGAAGACGATCTTCAGTCGAAGACTGTCCTTCAAGACATGGACCTCCCCTGTTCTTCCCATTCTCATGTCAGAGACGACTCTGTGCGATCATGCTTTGACAGGACAGAGGAGGAGTGGCTGCGTGGCAAATAGCAACTGCAGAAGTGTCCTGTGCTTCCTCGTAACCTGGGCGGACTGGACAGCAGCTGGATTTGCCTACCAACCCTAAACCCTAAACCCTAAACCCTAAACCCTAAACCCTAAACCCTAAACCCTAAACCCTAAACCCTAAGCCGGTACCTCCCACGCACTTCATCCTGGGGTGCATGCAGCTTGTCTCAGGTCTCCACGCATGCCTGTCACTCCCCCCGCAGTGGTGAAGGTGAGGATCATGGGCGCTGGCCTGGCAGACATCATACTCGTAATATGTTATATTGTATTGTGTTATATTGTACTAGATCATATGGTATTGTATGATATTACGGTATAGTATGTCATATTAGATTAGTTTAGATTATATTACGGTGCATTTGCTGTCTTGCCGCTTTTGCCCCAACAGTCTCCGATCCAAGGCCCACCCGGAAGGAGGTCATGAGCAGGGCACGATGCGAATGATCACAGAGGCTGTTCCTGCCCTGCTGAGTGCCGGACGTCTCTCGAGCTGGACTGCTCATGCTGATCCTGCAAGTGCTGATTTGTTGACAGTTGTTCACGGGGTTTAGGAATTGCAGGTTCTGAAACTTGACATCAGCTGGCAGGGGCGCACAATGCTTGCATGACGACACCCCAGCCAGTCTGCGGTCGGCAACCACGCAGGAAGGTCAATCTGCCATTAGCCCGACGCCGGGATGAAAGAAGCTTCTTGTGCTAGCAAGAAGCGACGTTTCCCTAAACCCTAAACCCTAAACCCTAAGGGTTTAGGGTTTAGGGTTTAGGGCCGTTTACGCCCCAAACCAAGCCCTCAAAGAGAAAGACCATCAAGAAAGAAACCGCTGGCAGATCCGAGCGCCATGCGTCGCTCCGAGCATCGTCGCCTCGTCAGCTACAGTGGAAACTGGTAAAAATCTCATCTAATCGAATATGATAGACTATAAACAAATATGATAGACTATAATATCTAATATGATAGACTATAATATCTAATATGATAGACTATAATCTAATATGACAGACTATAATCTAATATGATAGACTATAACCTAAGATGATAGACTAAAATATAATATCAAACAAACACCATGTGATCTAGTACGAATACAACATAATACAATGTAGAGGGGCCGTAATAGCTAGAATAGGGTATCGGGGTAAACTAGGATAGACTCGCAAGACGGAATTGCAATGACTACGGTTAACTACTTAGTAATGTTCCTGTTCCAGACAGAAATGAAGAACTTTACGGAATACTCTGAGTAAGTATCCCGGCTTCTACACTTGGCTTTCGCACAATAGCGGCCAGCTCTAGAGGTCGAGATCGCACCCTTCCGCTCACACCAGCTGCACGCTACACATGAATGTTTCTAACGGATGTGTAGATCGATCGAAGCGAGTGAGAGGGCAAAAGAAAGAACAAAAACGTGGAACGGTGCTGCAAAATGGGGCGGAACCGATCAGCACAGTGCTGCAAATCCTTGCGCACCCTCGATCGCAAGTAAATCCGAAGCCCCGAACCCTGAAAACAGCCAAGCCCTAAACCCTAAACTCCGAACATGACAAGCCTAAAATCCCTAAACCCTAAACTCTGAACATGACAAGCCTAAAAATCCCTAAACTTACTAAACTCGAAGCATGCCAAGCCTAAAAATCCCTTAAACCCTAAACATCCCTGAACCCTGCATCATCAGACCGCTACCAAAAACAACCACAAAAAAGCTCCGAAACTCGGAGCCGTGAGCCTCTGAAAAGAGCTAAGCTCGGAACCGGGTTGCGAATGGTCATCTTGCCAATCTGGGGACGGGCCGGGGAAGTGTAACGGCCCCTTAGGGTTTAGGGTTTAGGGTTTAGGGTTTAGGGTTTAGGGTTTAGGGCTTAGGGTTTAGGGTTTAGGGAAGTGTAACGGGTTTAGGGTTTTCGGGCTTTCTTGGGGTTCTTTTTGAGGTTCTGTAAGGGTTACGATAAGACTAATTATCAGGGATACCAGGAGGGATACTATAAAGGCTACGATGGCTACTATAAGGTTCTACAGGAGTTACTCTAGCAGGGTTTTGTCTTGATCTCCTATCTGTGGGACAGGTGTCTTTTCCATGGGATACAAATTTCGACTAAAAAAAACTTCCCTATACTATACTGTCACTGGGACCCTTTGGGGAGTATCTTTGCAAAATCTGTCACCTGCACACAAAGCCAAGCGTGTACGTCCAGATTGCAAGGCAGTGACCGTACTCGTGCTAGATCATTCGTAATGTCAAACCAACCTCCTCCACGTACTTCGCGCCGTTGCCACCTGTGGCTGGAATAGGCAGGGCATGACAAGAAACGAACCATCGTGGCTTGCATCTCAGACTTATCAAAGAAGATGGCAAGAAGATCCTACAAGAGATTAAGACTAAGAATCTGCACCAGAGCCTGCTCAATATTCAACATGTACTGACGTTTCAAACGACCCCAGTCGCGCTATCTGTCAGACAAATGGTGCCCCTCAGCAGACTGCACGATACTGCAAGGGGCAAAACCCACAGTCTAGAATTTCGGTCGTCTTGAAGGATGGTTTGTGAGCTGAAACTGGCCGAGATCGTGGAACGGAGAACGACCGTCACAAGAAACAAGCCCGAAAGGAAAAATGTGTGAAAAGCTTAGCCCAAGATGTCAAACTCAGGCATAAGTGAAATCCCAAAAGAATCTCAGCTTCAAAAGCTGACCCTCGCAGGCAACTGGCAACAACCCACAAGCAACTGAGTGGCGTGCCAAAGCGCCAGCACACGCGGAGGTTGGCTCTCTCTGCCGTGGCCATGACTTCCTGATAAGTGGAGGATATAGATCTGGTGGAATATGAAAGTAAGTCGCTTCGAGTTTTTCTGACTTCTTTAAAAGCTGCTATACCTGCTATGGACACACGTGCCTCGCGAGTTTGGGCGCGGCTGTGGTGCGTCCAAAGGCCGCCCCTTCCGTCGATGCAGATCATGCTCATTTCGTGCATCCTGACGCGCTGAACACTAATAACCCTCAGAGCAACCCTTCCAGAACTTTTTTAAAACCCTTATACTTGGGACTAATGCTGTTTGCGTGATGAGGTTGCCATGGCGGACCAAGCTCTGGATCGGGACTTCTGTATCCCTAACCGCCCAGGTACCTACTATATGGGGTACTAGAGCCCCTAGGGCCCTATATAGTAGGTACCTGGAGGGTTAGGGTATGCCTGACGGAGCATGGGATGAGGTTCCTCTGCTGCAGTGCTCCCGCACCTCCAGATCCTGACAAGACCATCTTGCTACTGTTGATGATATAAATCCTGCATTACCTTAAGGGCCCTAAACTATGAGAATTTTGGTGTAATGCAGGATCTATATATAATCAACCGTATTTTGCGAAGGCTTGGCGGCTGTCCTCTAAACCTTGGACCCTCAACAACAGGAGCCTGCATGCATGGTGAACCTTGAATCCCAGGAGCGATCCGCAGACCCCCAAAAATCATAAAACCGTAAAATCCCAACCCCTTAGCCCCTGCAACCCTAAACCCTAAACCCTGCAGCCCAAAGCGCCTTCCAATGTAGCCGATTTCAGGCCGGGCCCCTGCGTAGACGACCGTGAACTGAGGCCGGGCCTGGGGACGATGGGCCTAACTTCCAGCTTTTGGGTTTCGACTATAATGGTGTGAGGTCCTTTCTAAGGGTTTCATAAGGGTGGCACAAGGGTTGTCCAAGGAGGAAGGGTTTAGGGTTTGGGGTAGGGTTGATCCGTTGTTGAAGCTTGGTTCGGGTGTGTTGAGGAAGGTTTCGGTACGACTTACACAGGGAGTGGTGACCCCAGGCTCAGTGCTCATGGTGAACTCTTGCTTCGAAGCTCCCTCTCCAAGAATGCGTTTGAAAGCGCCCTTAAACTCTCGACTCTAAACCCTTAGAAACCCTAGACCATCATGAGAGGGCTGCTACCCGGATGTCGGCAACTTATAATTACGAAGCCTGATCGCATTCCTCATGGTAACCCTTATATACTAGTTGCAGAGCACATAGTAATCCTTTCTGAAACCCTTATGGAATCTTTACAAAACTCTTATAAAGTCTTTACCTTGTAAGAAATCTTACAGCTTACAGTAATCCTGATAGAACCCTCATCTATAGAACCCTTGCAGGAAAATGCTGGTCTGCAAAGCTGTTTCCCGGAGAGAAGCCTGATTTTCGGCTCAGCACCCATTAGGGTTTAGGGGTTTGGGGATAGGGCTTTGAAAGAAACATGGACACATGATAAAGAAGAATCAGAAAAGCTCGAGAGTCAGCGCTCCGAATGGCTGAAACAACATTGAGCTGGGAAAGTAGAAGGCCGTCGGTAGCGTTAAATCCCCAAGCACGTGTGAGAATCGGGCGATGCTCGGCCAGCCGATGCGAATTCGGCCGATCAACGGGTTCTCCGAGGCAATGAATTTCTGCCTCAAGCGCCGGGGGGTCCGCAGCTTGGGGTCAGAAGAAGAAGAAGAAGAAGAATAAATAGACACGAAAGATCTCCAAGTCTACGTTTGCCGGGGCCCAGGTCAGGATCACACCTAGAAAGAACCTCAACTGTGTGGATTGTTTCATGATCTTAACCTGGTCGACCCGGCCAGTGTCCGAAAACGTCCAAGTGCGCATCACATCCTCTCCGCGCTCTGGTCTCGTCCGGGTGCCCGGGCGCAGCGATGTAGGTGTCTGGGGCTGTGCCGCTGTTCCCCGCAGCATCTGCAAAGTCGAAGGCACCCTTCAAAGCTGTAAGCCTCGGTTTGCAGAACGGTCCAGCAGAGCTCTCAAAAGGCCACATGCACACGCTAACACACGCACACACACACACACACACCCAGCGACACACCCACACACGCATATGTATATATATATATATATGTATGATATGTGTGTACATCTTATTTACATGTATGATCCTACTGATAATATACATACTGATAATATACCCACACAAACACATACATAACACACACACACGCACACAACACGCATATATACACACACACACACACTCAACACACACGACGCACACACACACACACACACACACGCAGCGACAACCTGATCTTCTAGACCCTTGCATGCCTGCATCACTGCAATCGAAGCATCAGCAAAAGTAGGCACATGGTACACGAGGATCATCGCCACTGAATCTGAGATACCGGCATCTCCTCTGTGCACACGGGGTCTCCTGCAAGCCATGAGCACGGAACGACAAGGCGACGCAGAATCCTTTTACTTTTCCCCTCACTCCCGAACACAAAGCCCCAAGCCCAAGTGGCGCAGAAAGGCCTTCCCACCCCCGTTCCGCCTAGACTTCCCATCAAGAGGAACTGCGCTTCTGGATAATGAAGGTTACCCAAAGGGTTGTATGGCGGATTCTACAACGCGTGCCATAAGGTAGAATGGTTGCTATCGGGGTTACTACGAGGGTTTATTAAGACTCCGGATGCGATACTTCTTCAGATGACAATGGCCAGTGCCGAGAAGGAGGAACTTAAATCAGGCATCAGGTATCTGTAATTTCGAAAGATGATTCGTCAGCAAGAGCTGGCGAGAACGACTCTTCGCAATCCGCTGTGCTGCCCATGAATTGCACCAGATACTGGTCGTGATCTCCTGAAGATGCTCGATAACAGGCAAGTGGCTCTGCTCGCGCCAGTCTATGTAAAATATGTCTAAGCAAGATCACGCAATGCCGAATATCCTTGTGCGGGAGCCCGAAGTGCGATTCCGCCAACACGAATTTGACTGGCCCCCTACAAAGTATTCAGTCTCGCACCCCAAAGAATCTACTTCAGACTCGCCCAATGCCAGGGTAAATACTTCGTTTGAGCTTGAGGGTGACCCCCCACCTGGCGAGCAGAAGATGTTGGCGCCCAAAGTGATCTCGTCTCCCGTCCTTGACTTTGAAACGCTCGGTCTAGGGGTGTTTTGGGGTTGAGGGGTTTTTGGGGGGTAGCGGTTTAGGGAATAGGGGTTTCGGGATGTAGGGGTTTAGTGGTCTAGGGCTTAAGGGTTAACGGAAACCCTACGCTCCTAAACTGCCGTTTGGCTGGAGTTCGGAGTTTCGGACGAACTTCAGGTTTGGGGTTTGAGGGGAATGGGGGCGGGGCGGTTAGTTTAGGGCTTTTAGGGCTTATAGAGCTTGGGCTTTTGAGTATTTAAGGGCTTTCGGTTGTTTTTAGAAGCTTTTGGGAAATGTATTGACCTTTATAATTAGAATAGGGTTTTGGGGGCTCCTTCTTATAATTATAGTATAATATACCCCCCAAACGCTATTCGAATTATTCAGGCCCCTATAGGGTCCCCTATAGTATCTTCATGCTTCGGTGGGAGATCGGTCTTTTAGTCCGGCAGCCAGTGCCCTTCTGCAGGGCAGAACGGCGAAATGCAGAACCCCAGAAGTTCTGCCTATATTCTCCATTGTATTTCCTTTTAGGGTTGAGGTTTAGTAGTTCCTTTTAGGGTTTAGGGTTTTGTAGTTCCTTTTCGGGTTGAGGGTTTAGAAATTCTTTTTAGGGATGAGGGTTTAGTAGTTCTTTTTAGGGTTTAGGGTTTAGTAGTTCTCTTTACGGTTTAGGGTTTAGTAGTTCCTTTTGGGGTTTAGGGTTTAGTAGTTCCTTTTAGGGTTTAGGGTTGAGTAGTTCCTTTTAGGGTTTAGGGTGTTGTAGTTCCTTTTAGGGTTGAGGGTTTAGAAATTCGTTTGAGGGATGAGGGTTTAGTAGTTCTTTTTAGGGTTTAGGGTTTAGTAGTTCTCTTTACGGTTTAGGGTTTAGTAGTTGCTTTTAGGGTTGAGGGTTTAGTAGTTTCTTTTAGGGTTGAGGGTTTAGTAGTTCCTTTTAGGGTTGAGGGTTTAGTAGTTCCTTTTAGGGTTTAGGGTTTAGGGAACTATGCTGGAGACCACGGGTAGACCCTGAAATTCTGAAACCCCAGGCCCCAAGCCTTAAACCCATAGACTCCACACCCCTCCCACCTGGGCCCCTGACATCATGCCATGGGGCTTCTGGAAGACCAACTCTGTCTCTGTGTCGCTGAGGACCTGAAATTGTCAACTCATTCAAACGCGACAGAACGATTGTGGCCCGGCCCTAAGGCCTGCCCTTGCATTGAAACCGCAACCACAACTCGAGAAAAGTATGACGGTTCGAACCATCAGGAACCAGAAACCGACTAAACTCGAGGTCCTAACACAAGGGGAGTGTATAATTAAGCTACTTAGAACAAAGTTCTGGGGTTTATTGTACTTGTGTTAGAAGGAAGCCTAAGGAATAATATCACTAACTGTTCAAGATTCGATGTTACGAGGGTTGAATCAGACCTGAGGCTGGGTGCCGTGATGGTCGTGATGTCATTCGTCTCACCTCAGCTGCTTGGAACCAGCTGGGGTGTTTTGAGGGTTCAGCGTTGCGGCATCATGCGATGCAGTACAGTACGGAATGACGATCTATAATGTACTATGACCTGGCACCAAAGTCTGGCAAAACCACGGAAGGGTGGAAGATACTGGTGTGATATTAAAAGACGGGACACAATGGCTGCAGCCCTTCTTGCCAGGTCTCTACAGCCCGACGCTCCACTGCGTCCACAGACTTTACACTAGCCAACCTCCTCTGCTAAGCTCTGCACCGAAACAACCCAGACCTTCCAAAGTACCCTAATTAAGGAATATACCTTAAATGATATGATGGATCCTACCATACCTTAAGTAAGGGATATACCTTCAATCAGATTATGGATCCTACTATACCTGAAGGTATATTCCTCAACTTCGGGATCTTGGAAAGCTTGGGAAGAAGCCTGGAACCCGAAAGGCACTCAGGTAGCGGCAGTTCTCGTTGCTGACATCGCAGTTGTAAGAGTCGGCGGAGAGGACCTCACCATAACATAACCGAAGGGTCCATGTACCAAAATACTATATACGCTGGCCCTAAAGTACCTATATAGGGACTATATAGGGACTACTTTGAGGCCGGAGTATATGCTACTTGGGTACATGGACCCTTGGGGATATTTGCATTGAGAAGTGCAGTGTGGATTCGAACAAGTATGAGATTGCGTGCCGGTCAACATGAGCATTGCGTGCTGCCGTCCTTTGCATGAGTTCTCTCGCGATGGATGCTCCTGGAATAAAAGACCCTGCTGCTGCTTTCGTCAAGATACTGCAGATCACACTGCAATAACGATGATAACTAAACAATAATGACTACTATTGGCATTGGCCCAGGAAGCTTCTGCTACTCGTGAATATCCTTTCGACTATTCCTAAATATGAATATGCTTCCTATCACAACATTCAATCCACTACTACTGTCGACAGCTCAGCACGTCATGTAGATCATACGTCACCATCACAAATGATGACCATCATGTGCTGTCTCTATGACAAAGGTTCCTTGCTTCTTACTGCGAACCCCTCAGCCGAAACCGCCGCGCCTTGGTACTCAGGTCGCCCGGCTCGGCGCCACCCGTCAAGGTCACGTCGGTGCAGGGAACCGGGCATTTCACCTAGGCTGTTGCAGTGTATGTCGGCACAACAATAACTGTACCAAATAGACACATCACACCACAAAATGCTGGCGTCGCTGGTGATAGGGTGCATGGGTCTTGATGATGCTGGGTCCATGGTGAGCAAGTTTTCTGCCCTTGACGACCTTCCTGAACAACCACTATTTATAGTGGGGGTTTCCGAAAATAGGGGACCCTAACATAGTACCCTAAATAGTAGGAGCCTTATTATAAGGACCCCAAAATAAGGTACCCCTTATTTTCGGAAACTCCCAGTGTGTTTGCAGAGAGTAGCAGGGGGAGCTGCTGCACCAAAGACCCTCTACACTCTACACGGCTCTGCAAGCCTTAAAAGACTTAAAAACGGTTTTGGGTTTAGGGTTCAGGGTTTAGGGTCCCTAAACCCTAAACCCTAAACAATGTATTCCCTATACAAAGGCCCGGGTGGCTTTCAGCGCAGTGTAGGCAAAGGCCGCAGTGTTTGGGTTGAAGTTGTCGTCTGTGCAGCGACCATCGGAGCTGATAATGCGAATGGTGTCACCTGGTTGAGACTTGGGCTAAGGATTTCAGGGTTTCGGGTTCAGGTGTCGCGCCTCCGTGTTTAGGGTTGAGCGTTTCGGGTTGAGGGCGTGGGGCTTAACGTCCACAGGAATTTTCAGTGATCAAACAAACTGCAAGTCTGTGCATTGGCTAGTGTTGGTTGAGAGTAGAGGAGTTCTGGGTAACAGTTGACTGCCATGTCGTCGATGGTTTGGGACATTTTGCAAGACTTCTTTTCCTCACCATCCTCAGTTCGGCTCTCCCTCTCGTTGCGTGCTACCGATGTTGAATCAATTCCGAATGAAATGCGATGATTCCGACTTCAGCGGTCCGTTCCAAGCCTGAGGTCAGCCCGAAGCCCTCGTAGCTGAAACGGAAGACCACGTTCGTGGAGAAGGTCCAGCGCTGGTTGATCTGAGGGGAAAGTGTCAGTTTTGGGTCATACGGTTTTTGGCTCAAGGCTCAAAGGAGAGCCTCAGGCTACAAACCCTTAACCTAAACCCGAAACGGTTAAAGGTCAGTGTTCTGAGGCTTTGCCTCTTAGGGAGGGTGGGGCTTCAGCATTGGAAGCTCGGGGGCTTGGGCTGATACCAAACTAGACCTCGGTTCTCCAGTAGCCCCTTAATGATAAAGGGTACACTTTTGCCCTGCTATAAATGTCATAACAGAGGAACCCAAAAAAAAAAATGGCAAACGGATGCTGCTGTGGAAACCTGGAGAACAGCCTTCGCGGACTTTTTTCTGGACAGGCCATCCAGATTATGGATTTAGGGGTTTGAAGATGAGGTTCCTGTCGCCAGTGTCCAGCCATGTAACAGTCTTTTGAAAAGACCTCAATCCCCAGTCCCGCCTAAGAAAATAAGCACGGAGGAAGGACTCTCAAGCAAGCTCGGAGTTCGGCTCACCCGTGATGTGCCCGAAACCCGAATCCCCAACACAGAGCCTACTCCTTTGGCCAGTAAGCCAAGGTGCCTGCGGCCCCTTGACCGTCAGATGCGCTATCAGCTTCCAGTTCGAGGAGTCCAAGCATCTTGGCTCACGCGGATGGGCAGGATGTTTAGGCTTTCCATCTTCGAAAAATAGTGCATGTATGTGTATATATATATATTCATTTATTTATTTATATTTACTTATTTATTTATTGGTTTATTGATTCATGTATGCATTCTATATAAGAACATTATCGTATATTCATAACACCATATAAGTAGCTTGAGTGGAACCCAAGACTGGTAGGGAGCCACCCTTATTCGAGCTATCAGGGCAGAAACCTGAAAAGAGCCTTGCGTTTTCCCAGGGCCCCTCGCATGCTGTCCACTGTCACCGCACAGTAGCAGACGGCCAATGTTCCAGCCTCTAAAGCAGTTTAGGGTTTAGGGTCGAAAGCAACTGAGGCACTGAAACAGCGTCCGGCTTTTCTTCTGGCCCCGTGGGTAACAGAGTAGTCATCTGAAGAGAGAAAAAGCTAGAAGCGTATCGGATTCACCGCTCCCGAGATTACCCATCGGTAACTAGCTTCTATACGACGCACCGGCATTTGTTTACGGCAAGGAACCCCACGTGAGGCAGTTTCATGTTCCGGGCTTAGGAGTCAGGGTGTGGGGTTCACCTTGATTGTTTTAAGCTGCTCGAGACCGACTCCAGCCCACAATCACCGACAAGTCCGGCTCCAGTAAGAAACCACTAAACTTTAGGGTTTAGGGTTGTTCTATTCTACTCCTAGCGGGTAGCCGACGAATGCTGAACCAGCACCATAAAATGACCCTGCGCTCGGATGCCTCCGTCACCGTGATCGTGTTCACCTGGGCCACATCTACAGCCCAAATCTTCGAAATCAGAGGGCAGGGACACTACAAGCTCTAAACACGGGTAGGTAGGCACCCAATGTGCAATGCCTGCGATATGTCTGCATGTAAACATGTAGATAGTTCTGAATTCGCGTGCATTGGCCCGGCTATCGGTTGCTCGTTGCGTCGGCATCTTATGGCGCTTACCATTTGCCTAGTTTTCGTCTTGCATATACGCGCATGAACAGTGTTGAATCGAACTGGGCTACCTTTCGGACGACAAAATGAAAACAACACCTGCATGGACCTGGACTTATCACGTATCACGCATTCGCCAAGTTGCGAAGGAGTTGGAGTTGAAGACCACTTTTTGCAAATCAGGCGGTGTCTGTGTCTGCAGTTCACCTGGGCTCAAAACATGAACAGTCTTTATAAGACCCCCTTGTCGTGAAAAACAACACGCTCCGTCCCACTTCTCAACCCTACGGGCCGTCAAAAATCACACGCATTCAACTAAAAACTCTCAAACCCGAAGGCCCTAAACCTTAAGGATTGAATTGCATGACTTGCAGGCAGGAAGCCCAAATAATTCGTAGAGGCCGCAACCTCACTGGACAGTCCCTGTGAAAACCTCGGGGGGGTGAATGCGAACTCCGTGTTAAGTGCTCCAGGCTCAGGGTTTGGATAGGTTTGGGTTTGGGGTTTAGGGTTTAGGGTGGGGGAGTTTTTTGACGTTTAGTTCCCAAGTTCACGACTTTAAGGCGTCAGACTCAGCTTTTGGCTTGTCCCGACTGTCATTTGGGGCCTTGACAGAGTGTAGAGGCCCGAGGCATGTTATATGCTACACTATGAAGTTGTTACGCACGTCCATAGTAGAAAACATTGGTGCGTCTATCAACCGAGGCCTCTGTCGACTGATGACATTTTGTTTGGACGATGTCATACGTGTACCCGAGCAGGGCGACCCTGCAAACGCGCACCATCCACAACACCCCGTTTAGGGTTTTGAGTAGTGTGTGAGCTAAGGTTTCGGGTTTACTTCAGGTTCAGTTCGCGAACTTGCCGGTCTGTAGTTTCGAAAGAAAACAAGTCCCCCAAATAAACCTGTATTTCGAGCAGCGGAATCATACTATGCACGAGGCCGGCACTGGCTGTTGTAGCCGGACAGGGCGCAGCCGTCATCATTGAGTTGTTTGTCCTGTCGGTGCGTAAAGCAGCTGGAAACCATGTAAAAAAAGCAAGTTGACGGAGCTGGTTATGATGCGACCGGTCTTGATAACTAAAGATGATGATGAGGATGCTGGTGATATAGACTCCGATGCTGGTGCTGGCGGTGTCACCGAAGCTGAACAAAAGTTGTCAACTTGTAAGGCAAGACCGGGAAACAAGGTCGATGATGTATGCACTAGCAAAAGCGCCAACTAATCGTACATTGGGCGTCCGACTCCCACTGTTAGCACCCCTGCTGGTGGTGTTGCTGTTCCGTGCAATAGATCATCAATACTGAGAAAAGCCGGTCACTAAATACTCCATCTAGCGAGTTGGAGAGAAATCGTGGGGGAACGGCTCTTCGACACACAATGCAACGCGGGAAAGAAGAAAAACTCAGTCCGTGTAACATTTCTTTGAGTTGCTCTCAGCTTCCACGAAGCCCCAGCCGAAGGAACACTTTGGCAGCTGCAGTTTTGAAAGCATCGCGGTCGCTGTGACGGTGCATGCAGCCAGGCAGCTGATTCAGCTGCTCCAGCTGGTAATGCTGCATCTCCCTTCGCTTCGACTCAGGTGCAGCTGTCTGGATCGGCAGCGCTGTCGCATCTTGGCGCTCGTTGGAGGCCTTGCCTTTTGCTGCCTGCAGTTTCGTGCCGAGGTCCTGGGATTCGTTCGCGCACTCTTTGGCTGGAGCCACACGCTCGTTTCCCCTGGCTCACTTCATCCTTGAGAATTGTCTCCTCTTTCGACGGTGGAGCAGGTGACAGCTCTGGCTCGTTCCCACAGAGCCAACTAGCGGCATGGGCGAGTGGTGCCCACAAAAAGGCCACGGGCATCCTCGGCGCAAGGACGGAGGCCGCAGACGCCCCCCCCTACCCCAGACAACTCGATATCTTTAATGCTGGACCGAAGCTTCGAAAGTGGGCCCTCCTTTTTGCCTTCATTACATCTATGGCCTATGGCTGCACAGACTTTAAGGCTTTCGACATGGAAACTAGAGCCGAACGATTTCAACTGGGGCAATACGAACTCAGGACAACTTTGGAAGTTCATCTCGCAGCGAGATATAGAATCAAATCAAAGGCGAGCCCCTCGTAAGAAGAAAGCCTAAACGCACGCAGAGGCCATGTTGGGGCTGCTGCCTGTTTGGCCAGGGGGGCTGTGTAAACTATAGGGAGCCTTGTGGGAGAACGTGAAGACTGTGGGGACACCGGAACCATCCTAAACCCTAAACCCTAAAACTGCGCTCTAAACCCTAAACCAGCCTTGTCTGTCACCAGCTTCAGCAAGCTGTTTTCCTGTGTTCGTGGAGAAGCGGACCAGGCTATTCCAGTGGATGGGGCCTACCATGTCCAGCTGAAGTCTGTGAGGTTCCCAGAATTGACAGAATGGCTACTGTAAACACTAAGCCTTAACTCAACAACAAGTACTACAATAGTCCTGAGAAGTAACAACAATTCTAGTAACGGCATTCAGAATAACAGTAATTGTATTAATGTATTAATATTCAAATATAAACATGAGAGCTCGTCAAACTTCTTTGTACCGGCCTGTAGTCCCAGCACACCGCCATCAGCGTAGGGTCTGTAAAGCCTCGGATCGACAGCACGGCACGCAGATTCGGGTTTTGGGCTTAGGGTTTTGGGGCTTAGGGTTTAGGGAATTAGGGATGCTGCAACTTAGGAGGCAGTGACGCTGAATGACCCTGACAAAGCAATCAACTATACTCCTGCCATCCATACTAGTGATAATGACCTCCGCTTCACTGCTGCATGCTACAGACTACAGACACTGCTGCTGTCTGTTTCACAGTCGTCGGCAATTGGTCGTCCTCGTGCTCGCTGTTTCTGTGGCTGTGACGGCAGTGGCGGTAGTGGTCGCGCGAGAGCGGCAGCGGCGTGGAGCAGTGGTTGCGGTGCTGGTGGAGTGGTGGCGTTGACGGCCGAGGTGGTGGTTCCTGGCGCTGCTATTGCCGCTGTAATTGTTTATGTTGAAGGCGTTGCGATTGCTGTGCTGCCAGTCAACGAATCGTTCCTCGTTTTGCGATGGTTTCTGTTGTTGCTGACTTCAACTAGTCCTCTCTGCCTGGCTCTTGTCCATCACCAGCATCACAGGAATCGGCATCATGCCCGTCACTACCACCATCGTCATCAGCTTCGCCACTGCATGCTGTACTGCAGCTTGATGCGCACATCGCAAGAGGCAAGATTAGCAGCACTATCTCCTTAAAGTCCCCGATGCAGACATGCAAGAATACACCCCGAAACCATCCTCTAATTGTTAAGGCCCCTATATATTAGATTCATTAGATCCCATCTTCCCCCTACAGTACCCCTTGCTCGAGCTATTGGCTCAGACCCGGGCCCTATGATGCCAGGTTGGTTCACAAACTCCACAGACCACTGCGCCGGGAGGTCGGACCTTATACTGACAGACGGCTTAGGGTCTAGGGCTTACGGGGTACCGGTCGTAATCTTGAAGGTAAGAGGTACAAGAATAACCAGTTCAACGACACTCATGACAAGAATGACAATAACGGTAGCAATAGCAGTAATAACAGTCGCAAGAAGAATGAGAATACCAATAACCTTAATAAATTATAATGACAATGACAATAACAGCACTACGATAACAGCAACAACAATAGTAGTACTAATACTACTGGTAGCAGCCCAACAACTGTAGTTATAAGAACAAAGAAAATAACAAAAGTAACAGTCGTGATACTAGTAACAACAGCAACAAAGTATTGACCACTGCAACCATGACAAGACTAGTGATAGCTCCTAAACACGATTTCGATGTGCATTTCAGGATTTATGCCCACGAGGCCTGAACCTAAAATCCGAACCCACCCTACTTTACCCAGGCAAGCCCTAAATCCCAACAAAGTGGCGAAGCTTTGTCACGCTGGACTTTGCCCCACACCCCACGATTGCTCTGGCTTGAGGTGACAATGATGGATATGACCGCTGCTTCTTCCTAGAGTCCCGGAGCGCGCTATTGTCAGAGCAAAACCTACTATGAGTAGTAGGTTGCCTTTTTTCATCTGGATGAGTGTCCTTGACAGTACCCTCCCTCTGGATGCGACTTTTGCTCACCGATCCTACTGGCACCTGTGGCAACATCTCACCATCTGTCACCAGCTCCATCCTCATCGTCATCGTCGTCATCATCACCATCATCAGAGCAATTTTGATCAATGACAAGACCTCCGCGCTAACTATGCACCCACATGTCCATCTCCATCTCTAAAAGTTCCTAACTCCAGCCCTACACCCTCGAAACTCTGCGGGAATGCGAAACCTCGCAGAGCCTGTCCAAAGTTAAAATCCCACTTCATGCAGCTATCGCCCAAAACCTACGTCCTAGATGTTGCCGTCGAAGCGAAAACCAAATCCATACGGTACCACAGGCCTGGATGTCGCTGCGCTCACGAGACGTGTGGAGCCTGGGCGTCGAAAACCCAGTAGTGAAACAAGCAAGCGCGTCAGTAAGAGAATCATCAGTTATCAAGTGCTCCACAAGTGAATTTCGATACAAGTATGGCCACCCATCAGCAGCTTGAATTCCAGAAAAGTTTTCCGAACGCGCAATGCAACTCACGAAAAAGGGCATCAACGGATGCTGCTAACGAAAATCAACGAAGTCAACTTGTAGGAGGCAGATCTGTACGTGTTGACGCCAAATCCATGATGTGCCAGGATGTCTTTGTCCCAGCTGTTTGCGGAAACTCTGCAACTTCTTCAGCATGATAGGCCCTGTGTGGTGAAATTTTCTCGCCACCTGCAATTCTGTCGAATGCTGCAGCTGGGTGCCGGCCTTCCGCATCACAACTCACCAACCAAGGCTGAAAATAACAACAAGAACGCTCTTGAATGCTCCGCGTGTGAGTTTGAAGGATGACCTTGGAGAGGCCTCCAACGTATTAAGTGGTCAGATGTCGTTGATGCGAACATTCTTCGACTTCGACTCTGTGCCGCCTGTACGGTGGTGAAACTCTGCACACAAGTTGCCCACTGCAAGTCGTTCAAATGTTGCAGCTTGGTGTTGGTTTTCCGACCGATGAAATGCCAGCCATTGCTGAGAACAAGAAGTTTCCGAAGTGGCCCACCTGCGAGTGAGAAACATGAACTTGGAGAATCTTGGGGAGGCATTTAATGAGTTAAACCGGTCATTGGATCAACATCGCATGCAAGGCCAGGGTATCTTTGCCCCAACAGCTGCAAAAACTCTGCAACCTGGGCCTCAAAGGTCTTGCGGCAACGTGAGTCTTTTCTGAGGGAGTTTCACCAACGCAAGTTGCGATGGTGAAACTCCCTCAGAAGAGACTCACGTTGCAGTTCAAGCAACTGCTCCACTTCGAATCTTGAAGACTTTTCATTCTGCAACTGCTGCCGCAGCTCCTCGGAGGCTTTGCTTTGAGCCACCTCCAGCTCCGAGCGGAGTTGCTGCAGGGTGGTCGATTCTTCCTTCACGGCGGCGCAGGCAGTCGCTTGCTTCGTGGCATGCTCGAGCAGTGCTGCCAAGACCTCTGTCTCGCACTTTCGAGTGTTGCTTACACCGGTGACCGTGTTCATCTTCTGCGAATCATCAGGGATGGTGTGCTGCGTCCGGTCGAAGTCTTCCTTCTTCTGATGCAACGCTGCCTTGACTGTCTCGAGTTGAGCCTGACGTCTGCGTAGCTCGTCGCTTTGAGCCTCGAGCTTTTCATGCATCTCCCGCTGCCGCATCTCTCCCCTCCTCCGCTCATCTCTTATCTGGGCCTGCAATTCTTGCGAGACCCGCTGCTCATGGTGGAGGAGGCAGCGGGTCTCTTCTAGTACGGCCTGCAGTTGCATAACCTCATCGTTCAAGGCATTGTCCGAACGAGTTGGCTCGCAGACCCAACCTGCAACATTAGTGATACGCGTCCAAACAGCGGTCATCCCGAGCCTACGAAGCTACCGACAGCGTGTTGAAGAATCTGACACCTGTGCGCTGGAGCCTAGCGATTCGGAAAGGGCAATGCAAACTCCGCACAGCTTGGGAGGTGGACATAGCCGCAGGCACTGAAACAGATGGCAAACCCATGCATGCTTCTAGCACCCTTCAGCAGCTTGAGTTCCAGAAAAGTTTTCCAAACGCGCAATGCAACTCACAAAGAAGGGCATCAACGGATGCTGCTAACGAAAATCAACGAATTCAACTTGTAGGAGGCGGATCTGTACGTGTTGACGCCAAATCCATGATGTGCCAGGATGTCTTTGTCCCAGCTGTTTGCGGAAACTCTGCAACTTCTTCAGCATGATAGGCCCTGCGTGGTGAAACTCTCTAGCCAGCTGCAAACTCTGCAACCTGGGCCTCAAAGGTCTTGCGGCAACGTGAGTCTTTTCTGAGGGAGTTTCACCAACGCAAGTTGCGATGGTGAAACTCCCTCAGAAGAGACTCACGTGGCAGTTCAAGCACCACTTCGAATCTTGAAGACTTTTCATTCTGCAACTGCTGCCGCAGCTCCTCGGAGGCTTTGCTTTGAGCCACCTCCAGCTCCGCTTCCTTCACGGCGGCGCAGGCAGTCGCCTGCTTCGTGGCATGCTCGAGCAGTGCTGCCAAGAGCTCTGTCTCGCACTTTCGAGTGTTGCTTACACCGGTGACCGTGTTCATCTTCTGCGAATCATCAGGGATGGTGTGCCGCGTCCGGTCGAAGTCTTCCTTCTTCTGATGCAACGCTGCCTTGGCTGTCTCGAGTTGAGCCTGAAGTCTGCGTAGCTCGTCGCTTTGAGCC